TATTCTGTGTTGGACATTTTCATCAAACTGAAAATATACTCTCAAAGAGTGAGGATCTACCTCAGGCCGCAAACGGCCGATTATTTGTGTCATTATTTCACTGAACCTGATTTCTTTGTCCTGGGTCAGAAGGGCCCACAACATCCTTGTTAAATCATAAAATATCTCATTTTAGAAAATTTCTTGCATATTTAAAAATTGAATGACATAAAGCAGACAAGTTGAAAATAGAGCTTAATCATTTCATAAAAATGCCATGCTTTCTGCTGCAAATCTAGTCAGTCTTTTTTATGAAAATAAGCCAATTCACCAAGCACAGCATGGGAGATTGCACAGCACGGTCAGGATTTGCATTTGGTACCATTGAGAACTTGCAAGTGCTTGAATTGTGCAACAAAACTTTGGAATTGCTAACTTGTTCAAATGTTTAACAATAAGACCAACTTTACAAGAGTGCATTAAGTCACCCAAGTTGCAGCCCAACCAAATTCCCTGGTTTCATTTCACATTCATAAAACTTCCCTTCTCATTCTTGACACTTTCCTCTTGACAGTTCACATCAACTGGTGACACCCATAGCCTCAAGAAAAGTTCTCATTGTTGGACAAGATAGGGTTTAGAAGAACAAGTTCAGCATAGCAACAAAGCAACTTTTTTGGATTTCAATAATTTGACACTTTGAAGAAATTTATACATTTTACCTGACAGTGGAGCACCAACCAAAGCACCAATCCCCTGGAACATGACGAAATACCCAAAGGAAAACGCGATTGCCTCTTGCCCAAACATTTCAGCAACCATGTCGGCTAGGACAGCACTGTAGCAAGACAATCCCCAGCCAAAAAAGCCACTCAGCACCAACATCCCTGTAGAATTGACAGAGGCATTAGATCAGTTTAAACATACAGAACATACAAGTCAAGGCATTATTCAAGTGATAAAAACACATATAAGAGAATACCATATTTACTAAATAAGTGCCAGCATTTAGCCTAAAATATGGAAGATTTTTGACACAGAATTTGTCCAAAACCCATCCCTGCATAAAAAAAGGCAACCCAGACTCTTCTGCTCAATAAAATCGATTCCTATAAACCAAATGATTATAATCAATAATAAAAAAATGCTATACAGCAATTGAAAAGAGAACATACTACATTATTCTAACAGAATGTATAATATTAAGTGCTCAACAGAATTTCCTAGCCATTTTCCACTCACATCTCACTTGAACTAACATTACCAGAATGTTTTCAAAAATTTTTTGCTGAAAAATGTGTCTCTGCGTACCACTCAAACGCCCACTACACTTTCCTGACAATATTTTTACATTAAAAAAAAGGTGTACATGTTATTCGGGTAAATGCTGTTTGCCATATTCACCTGAGTAAAACATGCCTCAATTAGTCAATATAGTACAGTAAATCACAATAATAATAATAATAATATTAATTACCGATATAGTCGGATACGATTGGGATGCAGAACGTGGACACGACCAACATCACATTCAACGACGTGTAGTAGGTGAGAGGAGAGAAGAACCTTCTGCAGGCAACTATCACAAACCCTCCGACAATCCGACCCAACACGTTCAGAGCCCCCGACGTCGACAGCAACATACTGGCATGATGTGCTTCCAACTCCAATTCCGTCTTCCCGTACGGGGCTGCATGAATTATATAATTTGAATTGAAGAAAGAAGATGCAATATATTCATGAATCCTCTATTTCAGGTGTTGAATTTGTATTTCTAATAATAGGTTTTGTCATCTGTCGCAAAAACTTGAATCATGTTCGCATATAGAAGGACATAAAATAAGGCAAAGTTATTTGGCAGGAGCATATTATTTCAGCAGTTGATAATTTTGACACAAGGCTTTTCAACAGGGTTTCCAAAGATTTTTTTTCAAAATAAATTTGCAATTGTCAATAGGGTGGTAGCTTATCATCACATAGGTGCCTCAAAAGGGTTTGACAGTAGTACTATACAGTATACCAAAGTTGCCCTAACTTTTTGGGTACATGGACTGGCAAATTTCCATGCATGAATTTTTTCGCAAATGAGAAAAGTTCCCAAAACATTTTCTGCAGACTGGCAAACTTTCACAAAAAATGTTGCAGGCTTGAAAAAGTTTTGCTTGACAGACTTCATAGAAGGCTATTTGTAAAATATTTCTTTTTTTGCAAAAATTGAGTTAAGAATGAATGGAGCAGCATTAAGGGAATTTCTCCAAAAATTGGAAACAGCGGCTTGAAGAAAGGTGTCTAATATTAAAAAAATAAAATAATTTCTTTCAGCAGAGGAAAATTTGTCCAGTGTTATTATTAAGAGGAATGCAAACTTTCATTTGCTTCAATTTCAACTGCCATTGACTTTCCAAAATTTCAGATAAAGATAACAGACTTCATTGCTTCTCTTGATGAAATTTATTATGCAGCAGAAAATTTCGCACAGTCTGGCATTGGTCTGCGGACCATGGGTTGGGAAGCACAGGTACATATCCCGGGGGTATCATCAAAAGTACATCCAAAAAAAAGTTTCCAGGCTTACCTAAATCCATGATGACGATGATACAAGCAAGCCAGCCAAACATCTGATTCGCACACAGCAAGAGAAACCTGGGATCATGCCACAAACTCTGTGATTCCCCTTCCTGGGAAGCTATCATGGGAGTTGCTGCACCTTTATTTTTTCAAAACACGAAAAAACAATAAGGATCACATCTGGGAATGTTGATACCATACATCTAATGGAGATTTTCTACTCACTGGTTCCTTTCTCAGCATCTTCAACAAGATGCCTTTGTCCCGTGGTTTTCTCACATGGGATCAAAGCCACAGAGGAAAGTCCCAGGGAAATGAACGTGATCACACCATGGGTTATCAGAGTGCCCTTCAGGCCCAGTCCTTGGAGCAAAGAGCTGCCAGGAAAAAAAATAATAGCGGTAATGCAAATGAATGGTGGGACCCCGATATGCGGACACCCAGAAAATTTGACTTAGGGACACTTCTCTGACTTTTTCCAGAAAAATCAAAAACTTTTTATCTTATTTTGACATATCTTGAACAAATCAAACTATTTATTTACAAAAAGGGAACAAATATTTCATCAAAAATTTTACTCCAAATCATAATAAAAAAGAAGCTGATTTTGAACTTCTTTTTCCATGGTTTTCTGTATGATCTGTACATATTATAGCAAAACTTATCATTTCAAATATATTTTTGAGCATCTTTTTGATGGCAAAGGATCAGATTCTAGGTGGTTTTCTTCTGCAATGTTGTTTTCTATATTTTTAGTTGAGGGAAACCATTTTATTACATCCAAAAAAGTAACTCAGGAATTTATTCCTAATTTTTCATAAGCTTATTGATGAAATTATTCAGGTGTGAGTGGATGCCTCAGCCCGCAATATCAATCAACAATACTTTGATCATTGGATTTATCACATGAAATAGTGCATTGCAATTGGTGGGTTACGTTGAGCTTGAGCAGCACTGAAATTTTGCCAACTCCAGCACTGATATTCTCGGATATGAGAGTAAATTATCATTATTATTTGCAATTGTTGGAACTCCATTGAATCCATTTCCAAAAAGTCTCAAAACTCATAAACAAACCCTAGCATTTGAACATTAAAAAAAACTCACTTTACAATGGGAGGAAAGAGAAAAGACCCCATTCCGACCCCAGCACAGGCAATGCCCATCGCAATGGCCCTCTTTCTCTGGAAATGTTCCCCAACTGCTTTTATCCCAGGCATGTAACTCAGCCCTAGTCCAAGACCTGATTAATAATTTTGAATAAAAGAAAAGAGCATCAGTAACACATCCAAAAAACAAATTATTTGTATAAATTAAATATACACAAGGTATATAATTAGACCTCACCGGTCATCACGGAAAATGTGAGGTACAACATGACGATTGTATTTGCGAAAGCTGACAAGATGAGGCCTGCACTGGCCAACAGGGTTGCCCCAAACGCAGTCCTCCGATTCCCGAATTTCTCCGCACATTTCGCACTAAGTGGTGCTGCAAAAAAAAGAAGAAAAAAAAGCATGAAGTCGGAAATAATACTGACACTCCATATTCCACTTAAATAAAACTGAATAAAATAGAATCTCAATTTACTTCGAATTTATTATCCGTAGAATAGTCTACCTTCCCTATTTCAATGTACAGTATTTCTTTTCAAATTTCTCTCTGGACTCCCTCAGAAAAAACGCATTTAACATCTCTATAAGTCTAAGGTTTTCCTAGAAAAATTTCCTGAAGTTGCATTTCCTGCTGTAGTCCTTTTGGAAATTATTTTATTGACACAGTGTCATAAAAAATTATTCTATCATTCCTTCTTGCTAGCAGACAATGCTCAAAGCAGTTACATGCTTCCCTACTTTCTCCTCTTCACTTGACAAACCTGGCAATATAAGGATCTCCTCATCTGATAAGAGTTGTCAGATCTAGATTAACAATACAATACAACATAAAGTACAGTATTATATATAAGGACTTGGAAGATGTCTTGAAATATTTCCATTTGTTGAACATCAATTGAAATTCTGATAAAATCAGGAAAGGGGAGATTACTTAAAATGAAATGCAATGTGCTTTGAAAGGAAGTTGAGGACAATATGAGCAATTTGCACATTTTTTTCCAAGTTCAACTCATTCAAGAAGCAACTCAGAATATAAAAAATTACAGTTTTTTCTAATTTTTTTTTTCAGTCCCCCCCCCCCCCCCTACAAAAATGCTTGTTTTTTAACAACTTGAAACCTTCCTTTGCTCGAATTTTCTCCCTGGGCCTTTCACTCTTGATTTAAAACAAAATCATCCACTTTAAGATTGAATAATTTCTAGTTTACAGCTGGAATATGTCAGCATTTGAATCATGAATCACTGATTCTAAAATAAACCCAAACCTTACCCTGAATATAGACAGTATACGCATATGTTCGAATGAGTCAAGCAGTCAAGAATGTTTTTATATCTAGAAAAAAGCTTGATGAGTTAACCATGTTGAAGGGAATTGGCAGATGATTCAAGCTAGCCGAAACAGTGGAAGAATAATGAATAATGTGAGTCATTCCAGCTGTGTATATATACGCAGTGTCTCTCAACCCAAAAATTTGTCAAACAGAATCTTCATAGAACGCCATCTCAATGATCTTATACTACACTTAGAATCACCCAAATACTCCTGAGATGTCGCGGATGTTTTTTTCCATCCCTAAAGTGCTCAAGTCCGCTCTTGAAAATTTTTAAGGTTGCATAGTCACCACTGATGAAAATAAACATTAAAAGATGGTTTATGAAGATTGAAGAATTTGATGAACCCTCAAAAATTATACTGCATAAGACTATGCTTGAGATTCAATGCATAGCACTGAATTAAATGGGGTCAATTTGAGATGTAATCAATTTGAGACAGGACCAATTTTAAACAATTTCAAAATGGAAATGTGTCAAATAGCCTCTCTTTCAGAAAGTTTGTCCATAATAGTCTATGTTACAAAAATTTTCTGCCTCCAATAGTCTCTGTCTCAATTAGTTTCTGTCACAAATGGTCTCAGTTGAAAAAGTCCTTGTCAAATTGATCTTGCCTGGAATCCACCATGTCTAAAACATTTCTATTCCCTGTCTCAAATGGTCCCTGGTCCAAATGGTCCCTGGTCCAAATAGTCCCTGTCTCAAATAGCCCCTACCTGGCTTAGTTAGTCTTGGTCTCATAAAGGCCCCTGTCTCAAGTTGGCCCTGCCTCAAAATAACCTCAAGTTCAGTTGATAAAATACCTTTTATATACGTTTTCTTTCATATACAATCATACTCCCTGGTCCAAATAGTCCCTGTCTCAAATAGCCCCTACCAGGCTTAGATAGGTCTTAATTAGTCTCAAATAGGCCCCTGTCTCAAAATAACCCCCAAGATCAGTTAAATAACATACAGTACACAAGTTTTCTTTCATATAAAATCATACCTGACATCATGAGACAAGCCCCAAAGATGGACCCAATCAGAGCCGTCATGGACTTGCTCTCCTTGAACTCCTCCAGGAACAGGGACACATACACGCCCTGGGCATAGTGGGTGCCTCCACCCAGGATCTGGATCACAAATGCCCCAGCCACCACCAACCAGCTCCAGCCTCCGTCCCCAGTTGTCCGCAACCAGGACCTGCTGCTGCTGCTGTTGCTGCTCCTGCCCGCCATCTCTGCTGCCTGTGCCACACCACAACCAACCAACAGAGTTCGCGTCATCAGGCCCTTCATCCTACCTCCCGCCATCTTCTTTTCATATAACTTCCCAGCATAATAACAAGCTTCATCCAGCAAAAGGAAACTATACAGATGAGAATTCCTCGCCCTCCCCCACCACCCGCTGATGACCCCAAACTTACAGCAGCGACATCTGCCTCACCTCACAGACGACGCGCTCTCTCTCTCTCTCTCTGTGCTGAAAAAAAAATATTGATGGGGGTTCGAAATCCGCAATAAGAATTCATTTTTTCAAGCTCTCTCTGTCTGTTTATCGAAAAGTATGTTTCTCTTTAAACTTTAGGAAAAATTTTCATAATCTTTGTTTTATTTTTTGTTGCTCATACGCGTGAGGGAAAGAAAGCAGTGAGAAAAAAAAACCCTCGGTTTCCCTACCATCAAGAATCATCATCATCATCTCCGCTGGAGGACTCTGCTGCAGTCGCGCTGGCATTTTTCGCTGAAACAAGCCCAACAAATCCCTCATCAGTCTCTCGTTATTGTTTATTTCGGGTGTAAATTTGCATCCCCATCATCAGCAGACACGCGTTGTGTCGCAAGAAATAGCCTATAGGGGGCGCTCTTAACGCACAAAGAAATACAGTAGTAAACTGGAGTGGGAGCAATTTATCTCTATATACAGTGAGACCCCCACATGCAGATGCCTTGACCCGCGGACAATTTGACATAGGGACACTTATTTTCCCAGAAAAAATCAACAAATAAGGCCCAAGATGAGGACACTGACTCAAAAGCGGCACATTTTGTGACAAAATTGCAAATACATTTGAGGCCAAATTACAAGAAACAGATATTTCCAACCCTAAAATTGATGTAAGAAAAGTTCTTGGTCATTTCTCTCACCAAATTACC